CACGGGCAGGACTGTTGGGGTTTTTCAATATCTTGCAAGCATGGATTATTGCTGGACTGAATGATCTCAGTAGCTAGCTGCTTGCCTTTGCATCTATCCACATCGATATCATCTATCATTTTGCATAAAATAGCTGGTACATCTGATTTGTCTGCCCAAGCAATAATAGGGTTCACAGTGTGTGGGTTAGATATAGGAATCTGAATATCCGTCCCCTTTTTGTATCCATGTTTAGATTTAGTTTGTACCACTTTTTCTAACAATTTCCAGGGGGACCCTGGCTCTAACTCCACCCTGTCAAGTACCTTGCCACATTTAGGCTTTAGTTTAACCCACTACTGAGGCACCATGGTGTTTAGGGAGTGATCCTGGCTGCAAGTGTGTATAAGACTTTAATCAATTTTTTCTGCAATACCAACAGAATGCTGAGGAAGAATTTATCATATGAATTTGTTTTGCTAGGAGGTTGTCCTTGTATCTATAGATTCTTTTGGAACACCACCCTCTCATACCCTTGTGGTTCCAGTATCGTCCTCCAACCTGTTACCCATTCTTCACCAAATACATAAGCCACGTATGATTTTATGTGCCTGGCTTGCCTTCCTAGGTGGATGAACCTGAAGTGGTCCCAAATCTTTCGTTTTCACCTCCAAAACCAACACCAGCTACCTGGTCTTCGTCAAGTGCATAGGCCAGTAGGTGGCGCTATGCACCTGGCTTGCTTTCGTAGTCGTTATGGTAATCGATTTCCCCCAGTGCCAGCACCAGTTACCCAGTCTTCACCAAACTACAAAGGCCCCGTAAAGCACAGTGTGCCTGGTTTGCTTTCATTGGTGTTATAGCACAATGGAATTTGTCGATAGAGGATAATCGCGAAAGTATGTCTAGATTTCTTTACAAAGGTGGGTGGTGGGTTTTTCTAATCCTTTGGGGACTAGAAATATAAACAATTTGTTTTAATTTGGTATGGACCTCCGCTATTTCTAAAGTATCCTGCCGACTACGCCAACTGTCATGAGCAGGTGATGGTTCAAAGTTGACCATCAGTCTGGTGCTAAAATGAATTAATTTAGGCAGGAACTAAGTTGCTCATACACATGCTTTATTGCAGGGAGTTACAACCTAACGCCGATAGCGCCTCAGCCTTCTCCAAGCTGTGCTCATCTTGCAATCTGATTTTAGTTCACTGGCCGCTGGCTCCAAACTGGTCCTGGCTAGTTCCCAGTCTTGATACATCTCCAGGATGCCCAGGGAATCCGACAGGCTGTGCAGAGTGTCCAGTCCACCTCGTCCGGGGCTGCTCTCCACTGGTGTGATGTGTATTGCTGATCAGGAGGAAGTGGCCATGGTCTCATGGGAGTGGAGTTTAAGTATTCCTAGTGGAGCTGTTTATCAGAACCAGCTGGGGGTTGGCTGATTTGCATATCGGGTGCCATATGGTACTTGTTTACATCATTTTACAATATATTATATTTTTATATACTTTTCAATGTGTTTAATGCATAGCAAACATAGTACTCATAACAGCCTCAAAGGGGTTCTGAGAACCCAGTCTCTTCTTCCTATTTCTCTTTCACTTTCTGGACATGAGATGAGTGGTTTTGTTCTGCTGTGTGCTTCTGCCATGAGTTGCTGCTTCTCCACAGGCCCAAAACAATGAGGTCAGGCAATCATAGACTGAAACTTCTAAAACTGAGTCAAAATAATCCTTTTCTTTTTATAAGCTGATCATTTCAAGTATTTGCTAGAATGATAGAAAGCTGGTACCAAGAGATGAGGTCATTGCTGTGACTATTCCAGACATTGTGGAAAACTGGATTCCCATTTGGAACTGGGTCCTGAGTGGAGCTTGGAAAAGTTTGGAAGAGTAAGCTAAGAAATGCCTAGAATGCTGTAAGCCAAATGGGGTGATTCCAGCAAGGGCTTTGAGGACCAAAATGTGGCCTGTAAAAGCTATGCTGATGGGGCTTCAGATAGAAATGAGGATTTTACTGGGAATTAGACTAGAAGCCACCCTTGTTGCAGCATGGCAGAGAAATGGGCTGCACTTTGTGCATGCACTGGGGCTGATAGGTGAGGAGCTCATTTATCTGGTGGAGATTTCAAGGTAGCCCAGCATCTAGCAAGTGGCATGGTTACTACTGATTGTTTTTAGTTAAATTGACAGAATTAGGAACAAAAAAGGAACACGCAGAAAGATTTATACAATGTCTATTGTGTGTGTACCAGGGCAAGGGCTGTGCTAAGTGCTATAGCTCAGTAGCAAGGAACTTCCTCTCTGCATCTTCTCAGATGATGGTGTGTAGGTGCTCAGATATCTTTGGAGGGTTGAGAGGGCCATGAAGTTCTATCTGACCTGCTCTCAGAAGTTTAGGAATAGATTCCTGGAGAAACTGGACAACACACCTCTGCTGCCTGGTAATCAAGTGAGACCAAATAACACTAGAGCTAGACCACTAGTATGGCTGTGCAGGGAAACAAAGGAACACCTTATTTTACTCAGCGAGAATCTGAGGTCACCAGTCACAGAACAAAGGCACTCCTGGGGGTGGGTTAATCAAATCTGTTTGTGTGTATGGTGTGGACAAACAAGACACACACACACACACACACACACACACACACACACACACAATTATGCTTCTTGAAAATGAGTCTTACAGCTGTGTTTTCATCCACAACTCCTGTAGTAACTTTGAAACACTCTGTCCACTCTATTTCATGATCCAAGTCATATGTAGAACAGAAATTTGACAATACTTTTGAGGCAATCTAAACTGAAGTCATCTCTTTCTTTACCTTTGATGTTAAACTCAGCCATTCATCAATTCAGTTATCAAATAGCCACCATTATTTCCCAAGTTGCACAAGCCATAAATCTAAGAGTATCTTGTTACTCCAGTTTCTCATTCTGTGCTGTAATGTAGTGCAGGGTCCACCTGTCTGGATTCATTACACACACCACACTTTGCTTATGTATCCTCGAATATTCTACTGGTGCTTCAAAGTAAATCTAAGTTTCCATCTTTAAAGAAAGTAAGTGAAAGTTAATGATGCTGACTTGATCGGCAGCATCTTTGTTTTGTATCTTTTTTCCTTTTTATGTGAGAATTGGAAGGGGAGATATTTGGTTTAACTGGACGTACTGGCAATACAGTTAAAAATTCTTGTAAATCAAAAACCATACTTTATTCATTTTTATCTTCCCAACAGTGACTCATCTAATACCTTAATTAATAAGTTGATAAATATTTATTAACAAAAATAATATGCTATTCAGAAATAGAAAACAAAGTTTCATTACACATTGAAACTTACTTTTATTAATTATATTCTTTAAATTTTTTCCTATTTACTTTTTTCTAATTCAACTTATAAATACTTATGGATTATTGATTACTGAAGAAGTTCTTGGTTGAGGTAATGGTATAACTGTAATGGAAAATAGGCACCTAAGGATACCTTACTTTATGCATAATTTAATCTAGAATGTCTTGATTTCACTGATATAAAAGTATAGAGATACATTTTCAATGGCATACCTCTGTCACACGTTCACTGCCAAATATTCCTAGTCAAAGTACATTTTCATTGCCACCATTGTACCTCTTCCTGAATAATCATTCCCCAGAATCCTGCATTTTCATGCTGGCTTTGATAGTCCAAGAGCCCACCTGTGCCTGGCTTGCTTCACTTACGTGCTCCAAGCTTTGAAATGATGCAGTTTTTGCATTGAACTTACATTTCTAGAAATCTTTTCTTCAGTGATGACAATAGACAATGAAGTGATAATTAACTTGCAGGCCTTACAAGACACTCTGGTTTTCTTCAGTAGGTTGTTTTTGTATTCTACAATCAAAATGTAACAAAAAAACTCCATTTAAAAGAAAAAAAAGATAGCAGTAGGAATCAAAAGAGAAGGTAGCCCCGTGATCAATATTATAGTCACAGTATTGTCGTCAGTTGGGATATTTTAATTTCAGTCTATTTTCAATATGCTTTGACACCCAGGAGCCCACATTGTACAATGTAAAAAGTTTTATTTTGTCTAATTTTATGACATGTTCAGTTTATTGTGTTACTTAAAATATCACCATAAATTTCACACTCAAGTTTGCCTGATAGAGTATCATAAAGTATATTTCCTCCTGTATTTAATTTGCACATGATAATTAGGACTTAAGTTGTCCTCACTTCCTCTTCACCAGAAATAACTTTGTAACGCCAACACAAAAAGCTGCAATCTCTCCTTACCCTCCAATTTATGCTGCCCAATGTAACGTTTTAAACTTAATTGCATAGATTGCAGATGTTCTGGAATTGTTATCATGTTTAATTTTTAGGAGCCTTTCCCCACCAATATTAATGATTTTTAACATGTTTTACATAAAGTAATCTTACTGTCTGAGTAGATAGATTCTTATATCATTATTTTTCTTTTTCAAAATACCTTTATTTGTGGTGCATCTGTTTTCAGATGAAACTTTTGAAAGCATTTTTAAGATTATTATTTGCAAAAAGTTTTTCACATCACAATCATGTTTTTTATTATGGTAAAAACAAATGACATAAGATTTACCATTTTAACTATTTTGAAATGTACACACATTGTTGTGCAATAGAGGATTAAAAAAAAAACAAAACCCATATCCCAGTGGGCAGCAGGCTTGCATGAGACAATTCAAGGTGCCCCCAGACCTCCAGCATTTCCACAATCCTTCAGCTCCTTTCCTCATGTGTCTAGTCTCTTGACAGATAAAATACTTCATGGAATCAATGCCCTTGCTGAAATTCTGCCTGTGGATGCTCTGTAGGTTTTTGACTGTGGGCACTCAACAATATTCCACTGACCAAAGCAGTATCTTGTGCTCCTTCACTGGCTCTGCTCTGGCTTTCTGCTTTCTCATTTGTGTGCATGCACTCTCTCTGGCCATTAAAGAAACAATCCAGACAAACATGTGACATCTCATTTCACACAATGCTGTCATGGATACCCCCAGCCTGCAGGAGTGGAGGACAGCCCAGAACATCCACCCTGGCATCTCAGAGGAGACATTCTGCTCAGCACAACTATCCTGGAAAGAAAGATGCAGACTTAAGTGACCTGATTAGTAGGTACGTATAGAAGTACGTCATTTCTTTAGACTCCTTACTATAGATTTGCTTGGAATCTGCAATAGAGATACAACAATTGTCTTATTTACATATAAAATAAGCTACATGAAAAGGAGCAAAGATCAATGAATGCTGTAAATTTGGGTTCCATTTTACTCTTAAACAGCATATCAGTAAAGTGAAGAAAACTGCACAGCATTTGTTATTTTTGACTCTATGACATCATGTTATGGGAGTTGGTATTTTTCAAGTTTACTTTGAAAATATGAAGCAGCATATTGCTTGTAAGAAAAGTAAAACTATTTTTCAATATAAGTAGGTTGTAACTGATGAATATTGCATTGCAAACAAGGCTTAATTTGTGGTCAAGATAGAATAGTTTTAACTCATAGAAAACTGGGAAACATCAATCTTACTCCTTTGAAACCTATTAGCATTTCCTTTGTCAAACTCATATAACTAGCTCAAGATACAGTTATTTCTTTGCATGTTTCTCCTCCCCATTTACTTGGAAGTTTCTGAAAAAGAAACAGTATCTTGTGCATTGATGTGCACAGAAGCTCCTTTTCATTGAGTAAACACTCGATACACACTTGTATAATTAATTACCAAAACAAACATTACAATTCACAGTTCCAGGAATGAGGCAGGTTATTTTAAGGAACCATGTGTAGTATCTTTGTCTTTGCCGGCTGCCTCCTGGATTATATAATTCAATCAAATTCAAATTGCTCTTTTGGGTCCCATTTCCTCAATTGCAGACACGAGCTTGTGAAGTAAGAGGAAATGAACAGACATGGCCCGTCTTCTACGATTTAACATCTAGGAGAAGAGATAACAAGGAAGTTATGACAGGAAGTCATACCTGAAGGCTTTAGAGTCAGAAACACTGTGGCTCAAATGCTTTTCCACTACCTCATACCTACACAAACTATGTAAAATTTCCAAGTTTCAGTTTTCTCAACAGTAAAATGAGCATATGGGATTTTTGTGTTAATTTGAAATATATTTGTAAAGCCCCAAATACTAACATAGTAGCTAGCCTTTTGTAGGCATTTCATAAAAAATAGAATAGTAGCAAATGCTATTTATAGTGCTCATTATATGCTAAACATTATTTTAAAGCTAATGACATTAATTCATTCATCTAAAGTGTTCATATATTGATATGAAATCCAATCAGGGTGGTGAGTAATTCAAAACAAGCAGTGATTAGTTCTAAGTAGGTGAGATCATACAGATGCAATATCTCAAAGATGAGCTAACATTCAGATCCAGTTTCAAGGAGTGCTCATAACAACATGAGGAAATTCACAGAGCAAAAGAAAGTGGGACATGTTTGGAGAATGGCAAGGCTGGGTAGCTAAATGAGTTTGGTATGTTGTTCAGTAGTTATGGATGAATATTTTCTGGAAGAGAATGAAGAATGTTCTGAAAGAAAGTTGAGAATAAAATGAACAGCCTTGAATTCCAGGGTAAGGAAACAAAATGTATTTCACATGGTTTTGGAGCTACTTCTTGCAAGGTAATTGGGATGTTGACTGGGAGGTGGAGACCCAGTGAGACCCATCTTTAAATACTTTAAGTGGTGGCAAACATTCACATGACTTTTTAATCTCACCTTTCATTTGCTTTTTAATTGACTCTAATAGGTGGGATATTTCACCAATGTGACATTAGAAATGAATATTGTCCTCACATATTAGAGGACAATCCTTTATTAATGAGGACTTGGTTCTTCCCATAGTATTCACAAGCACACAATATAGATAACAACCCACATTACTTGCCTTCTGTCCTATTCTACAGTCAACACCCAGGTCCTACAACAAATATTTGTTTTACTTGTTTTGGGGTAAAAGTTACCTTCTATTGTCATCTAAACTCTTTCTTTAAATTTTTTTTATTATTGCTGTACTTGAGGGTACATTGTGATACTTACCAAAATTCTTACAATATATCATCACTGAATTCACCTCCTCCATCAGTCTCCTTTATCCCCCATTGTCATTTAAACTCTTAAGACTCTGGGTGGCCTGATTGAAGTTCTCCTTGCATGTTGCCTCAGTAGCCAGCTAAAGATTTACTGATTTCTTTTTTAGCCTCCGGCCAATCTTATCAAAATTTTACTCAAACACAAATTTTACAACTGTGAGTTCAGTTTATCATCTATCAGTTGTGATAAAAGATAATAAGAGCTTTGATTTGTCTTGTAATTGCACTGACTTTGGTGATCCTTTGTAGATTGTTTTATTGGGCAAATCCTCTCAACCAATATGCCTGCCCACTTGGGATGGGATTCCATGTTTTGTTTCTTGTGGCTCATCTCTCCTGCATTTACCCTCTTCTCTGCCCTCGCTTTTTTCATTCTGTATTGTTCACAAATGAAGCCTTCCTTTCATCACTCTGTTTGTGAATTATAATCAGTTCAAGTTGGTGAATATTATCTTGTCTTATAAACAATATGCTGAGTTTCATGTTTGCAGCAAAAACTCGAACTACAGCAACGCCTATTTTGCCCCTTCCTTTTGTTCTTTTGCCCTTTGAAATAACCTTGCTGACTGTTCTCTGCCTCCACATTGTTCTAAAACACAAATCTGATTGTGCTTAAAATGCCGCACAGCTGTTCATGGATGGAAACAGTCTGTGTATTAGTTAAGAACAAGGACAGTTTTCTTTTTTTAAATCCTGATTTGCATCCCAGCTGAGCAATTTAACAACTACATATTATGGGCCTGTTAATGATCATTGAAGCTGCAGTATCTTCATCTGCAGCACAGGGCATAAGTGTCTCTGAGTGCTGCTGACCAGGTGGAGAGATAAGACCTGTACTCCTGTCTTGAGATTCTCGTCTGGCACACAGCAGACACTGACCACATGGAATGGGATCCTTCTCTGACTTTTCTGACTCATCCCCACCCCTGCCCCAGGCATAAATCACTTCTGCATTTATTTGTGAATTTTTTTGATAATATCAATCAATTTTCTTATGAATTTAGATGATTTTTATTAAAAGATGCACACATACAAAAGAATTTAAGGAAATTTCTTGAGGTGATGGATACATTTAGTGCCTTGACTATAGGATCATGAGTTAAAATTCATCCAGATGTATAAATTAAATGTGTGCAGTTTTTAATATCAATTATACCTCAAAAAAAGCATAAAAATGCAGATTATTGGCTCTACGTAGAGTGTTATGCTTATTTGTCTTCTTAACACAAATAATATATTTCCTTCTGTTCATCAGCCAGTTTTTTTCCCTGAGAATGCGAGAAACCTAATGGATGCCCCCTCATCTCCTGCACCCATCTATCTTAGCATAATTCCAATACATAGAATAAGCCCAGTGTGTTCCTGTTAAATTATAAATACCACACAGCATTCCGTCTGGCCGACATCAGCCACATGCCATCTTCCCACACTTGGTATTTTGAATCTTGATTATGTCTTCATGCCTGCACCCAGGCTTCTATGTGATTAAATTCCCTTTTATTAGGCACATGATGATAGCACTATGCAAATAAATGTGTCTGGTCATTTTTTATAAATATTAGCCAGCTTTATTAATATTATCCCTACTAACACTCAAACACTGTACACCTAAGTCAATTTAACTCATCATTATAGTAAAAACTCGTGTGTAGCATGTGGTTCACAGTGTCTTAGGGGACTAGTTGCCCAGAACCAGGGGGCTGATGTTGGTAACTCGTGTCCTTTTTCAGTGTTTCCCTTTTGTAAATTCTGCAACTGATGCAAGCTCTATAACATGTCTCTGATTTCAAAATTATTTTACCAGCTCATAGAGTGTACTGTTTTTGGAAAGTCAGTTTCTTACTGAACAATAATAGTCATAGTTTAAAAAGACCAAAGCAGAATAATTTTAGAAGTCACAATGGATCCTCAAGTATCAAATTTTAACAATTGTTGAAAAAAAGTTGAAAACTTGAGACATAGGCACCGTGTCAACTAAATCAGAGCTATAAAAACTATTTTTAACAACACATCTTAATCTTACATGGATGGAACTTGAAATTCTACTTCCCTAGCTAATCATTTGCCTGTGATTTTTGAGAACTTCTGTTAAGCTGCAAGAAACATATAAATTCAACCCAAGGCTTGTTGATTTCTTTTTATTATCAATAGTACTGAGCTGTTTTGCATCCAATTTCAGATCAGATTTTAGTCAGACATAGTATCCTTTTTCTTAATTGAGTCCTTGCCATGAATTCATAATAGAACAAGCAACTTTCCCACCTGGGTACTGCATAAAATGTAATATTTAATTTGGTATTTCTCTTTCACTGTGTAAAGTGAAATGAACAATTCATTAGCAAAAGGAACACTTTGAGATCTAAATAATATGTTAACTATATATGTAATACAGTATGACATCCCCTTTATTTCATAAGGAATACTTCTTTGTCGTTTTAGATAAATTACATGAAGCTGATGTGACAATGGATTATAATCTTATATGCCATCTAATTTAAATTCCTAATTCTACTCAGACCTTTTACTTTTAGTGATCACACAGAGCACCAATCACAATACTTTGTGTTCTCTAAATTAAGGAATAAGGAATATTTATTGTTTTTTTAAAAATTCTCATGCAACTTATATTTTTCATCATTATATGTGTTTCTTGCACAAACAGGCAACAAGATAACTTGAACATGGATGAAGATGCTAAAAATGTGACACTTCTGGCAAAAACAAAATTGGCCCAGGATTTCAGCAATTTTGCAGTAGAAATTCAAAGAACTATCACAGCGCTCAGAGAGCAGGTTCGTGTTCTCCCTCAAGTAACACACCCTTATTGTAACACACTGGAATGACTAAACTTAAAGATCCTGTCCAATGTTCTTCAGAGTCATAGCACATTATCAGAACAATAACCACATAGGCAGGACGTTTCATTCTAATAAGAGGGAAGTTGGGAGAAAGGAAACTTGGCAAAGCTCACATCACAGAGATGCAAAAGACTTCATCTTTGCTACCTAAGGCCAATATCTTTAATACACGGAATTAGGATAGACAAGGTGCTTTGCTCAGTGTTTCTGAGTTCTTCACGAGAGCACTTCTGAATAATGGGGAGGTTGAGTATGTTCCTCAGCCCTACAAGATGTACATAATTTTCAAAAGACACAACATGTAATGTTCTTATTAGTTTTTCTTGGATGGAGTCAAAGAAGTTTTTAAGACAGGACTGTTTTCTCTGGCTTTCCTTTTCTGAAAGAAAAGCATTAAAAACAAAATTCACACACTTTGTTGCACTTTTGCTTGTTTGCTCAGTTGTTCTGGCTCATGCATTGGTTTTTCTTAAAATGTGGGAACATATCAATAAGACGCTTGTGTTAGAAATGGCCATGGAAATGCTTTCATTTGGAAATAGAATGTGATTTCATTCAGGGCACGGTGCCAACTTATATATATCAGGCACAGAGTTCTCTTCATATTACCAAAAGCTCTGGAAACAACATATCCAGCAGACGTGGGAGGAGCCCCGTGTCTAAGGCCAGGAAGCTGTGCCCTCACTTGAAGTCTGGGCAATTCATGTAACCATTCAGAGTAAGTGTCTTCATCCAGAGTATCAGGGCTACCATAAGAATTGAATGAGGTCACCTAGCAGAAGCTTTTCGTGAACTGGAACCCCCTTAAAATACTCCTGCTCCTCTAGCATCTGAGTATATTTGGCCCTGTGTGGAGATATGTTGTTACTGGCTATGTGTTGCACCAATAAGCTCACACCGTAGAGTGAGGCTGGTTGCAATCATGGTCAGAATCACTGTTCTGGTCATCAGTGCTGTTTCTTGACTGTGATTCATGATCATTGAGATTACTTGCCCAATCTCAACCAGAACATAGATCTGAAAGAGATGAGACATTGTTTCATTGTTTCATTGTTTCACCCTGAGTTGGGAAACCTGATTTCCTATGCAGTGAGTTAACGTGTCAGAGAAGAGAGAAGGTATGTTAGCAGGAAGAGTCCTCAGGCTGACTAGAGAAGGTAAGCATAGTGACTTGCACACTAATCTACCCAACATACAGCAAACTCTGTCTCCATAAATTTATTTCATGAATTTGCAAGCAGGTAGAATCCATAAATGAAGATTCAGTCTAATTTGGCCTAAATACTGGTGGTGATTATCTTTCACAGGTACTGTAGTGATTAAAAGTTTCCCAGATTACCCCAAAACTGCATTTGATCCCTTTTCTTTGTTCCAATAACATCTTGAATTAGCACAGATCTCTAAATAGATAAAAATAAGGTACTTCTACCTGCTTAATTTCTATGTTCCATCCCACTGTAAGTTTCTTAGTAGGTGGGCTGATTTCACTGGGGTATTCTCAGTGCTTGATGTAGTTTAGGTACAAAAATAATCAACTTTTTCCTGTGGGGCCACAAAGAGTTAGCTGTAGGCTTATCAGGAATCCAAGGGATGTTATAATCTGGCAAAGACTGGAAGAGGGAGATGGAAGGTGCTGTGAACTCTGGTAGAGGTAGAAATTTACCTGAGCTGTAGCTAAACCACACAAGTGGGAAGAAGTTGCTGGTAGTGCATCCTGAATGTCAGGTAGCAAATATCTGTTGACATGATTCAGTCTACAGCCATATCACCCTGAATGCACCTGATCTTGTCTAATCTTGGAAGCTAAGCAGGGTCAGGCCTGGTTAGTACTTGGATGGAAGACCTGATTCAGATACGTAAGTGAATTTGTCATAGAACCAGCAATGAAGAACAGTAACTGAAACACCAAACCAACCAGATTAACCAAAGAGAATTGAGAAAAACAAAGAGTCTAGAATGGCCAGCAGATGGAAGCAGAGTAAATTTCCTGGGTGACTCCCAGGTGCAACTCCACCAGAGCAGGGAGTGTTCAGAAGGGTGTTGGGTGATGAAGACAGACTTTCTGAGGGCAAAGGATGTTTTCATACATAGCAACCTCTCAGGATTTGCAAAATTTGCATTTGCTGCTAATTTTTCATTTTTGTACTAAGATCGAAGTTTGGCAGCCCATGTTGAAAGAAAGATTGTGAGAGTGAGCCTGTTAGCTAGAGAAAGGTATTTCTCAGTCTGCAGCATGTGCAACTTTCTGGCCTTTTTGATGGTTCATCAGTGTGAGTGCAAGTCCTGGGTGTGTGTGTGGGGGGTATTTGTTCTTTCAAACCCTTTGTTTTATGAAAAAGTGAGCATAAAATGGCTTTTAATACAAAAAGATAGGGAATGCCACATCAATGAGGGGAACAGAGGTCAAAGAAACAGCTGCTAAAAGTTGCTGGATTCACAGGAGCTCACAGGAAGCCACGGCACATCTCAGCGATCTTTGCAGGATCCTCAGTCACAGCCCTGGCTTCTATATCTGCTACAACTGTGCTTCAGATCAGGAATGACTTCTCCTTGTCTCTCACTGGTATACTCTAGTCCAGAACCATGGGAAGAAAGAGACCAGGAATGGTTTTCTGAGAGCTGTGGACAAGGATGGCTGCTTATGACAATAAATTGACAATAGACAAGCCAGAGTGCATGTTTATGCGATTTTCCATAATTTGGTAATTAATTGGGTATTGGGTAAGGCTGGAATGATGCCTTATGATCATAAAGTCAGAATCTTTGTTCTGATTGCTAATTGTTTTTTAAAATTAACTTTAAATTGGTACATAATAATTGTACACAGAGTATGGTAATTTGATGTATGTACACAATGTATAATGATCAAATCAGGATAATTGGCATTTCCATCTCCTTAAACATTCCCCATATCTTTTGTGTGAAGACTCTACAAACTCCTGTCTTCTGATTATTTATAAAACCTAAAAAGTTGTTGCAAACTATAGTGACCACTATAGTAGAACACTAGCATTAATTAAGACAAATACAGATGCTCCTCAACTTACAATGAAGCTACATTTAAGAGCCCATCATAAACTGAAAATATCCTGTCAAAAGCTCATTGAATACACCTAACCTATGGACCACCCCCATCATTCAGCAACACACTTCACTGTGGTTGTTGCCCTTTGTGATGGTGGGGTTCACTGGGAGCTTCAGCTCCCTGCTGATACTCAGCATCACGAGAGAGGATGGTACTATTCTCTAGTTTGGAAAATATCCAACTTCAAAACTTGAAGTACAGTATCTCCTAAGTGCATATTGCTCTGCGCTGTAGGAAGTAAAAACACCGTTCAGTTGAAGCAGCATAGTCAGGGACCATTTGTATGCAAACAGATAATGGGGAGAGATGAGGATCAGTAGTTTGGCCACTGCACTTTATTAATCCCAAGTGGGTTCTCTTCTGAATTTCAAAGGGCGATATTAATATGGCATATGTTAAGATCAGAATGAAGTCCTGCATCTTTGGGTGTAAGTCACCTAATCAATAATGAGAAAAAAGCTCCAGATGAGTCAGGAGAGGCAGTGCCCAGATGAGAAGGGGATACTGGAATCACACTGAGGATGCTCTCCTGGGCTCACACTGAGGATGCTCTCTTGGGTTCACATAGAGGATTCTTTTCTCTGCTCACACTGAGGATATTCTTCTGAGCTCACAGTGAGGATGCTCTTCTGGGATCCTACTGAGGAAATTTCTGGGTTCTCACTGAGGATACTCTCCTGGGCTCACAGTGAGCATTCTATTCTAGGTTCACATTGAGCATTCTATTCTGGGCTCACAGTGAAGTTGCTCTCCTGGGCTCACAGTGAGGATGCTCTCCTGGGCTCACAGTGAGGATGCTCTCCTAGGCTCACACTGAGTATGCTCTACTCACTATAAGTGCATGAGGAAGTGGTTAGGAGCGTTGAAGAGCAGGCATGGTGTTTATGTTTGCATTAGAAGAATGCTGTCTTGTTGCTTGTGTTAACTGAACAAAGTAATACAAAAGTGGCCATAGTGGCCTGCTGTGTCACCCAGAAGTACAATGCTGTGGCCCAGGCTATGGTGACGATCTTAGAACAAAGAAAAACAGACACTTTTTGGAAGGATAACTGTGCAGCAGAGTGGTGAGAACCTGATTATTGAATGTGTCATTGCAACTCCACCTGGATGTGAGGCTCCTGACGGAACTGAGGTTCTTATGATGAAACTCATGACAGTGCTCCTGTGCTATGGACAGAGGAGGCTCTCTGAAGGTCTGGGACAGAGAGACCAGTAAGTCACCGTCATTTGAGAAAGGGAAATTCAACCCAAGTTTGAAAAAGGCAGTCACCTGTACGATTAAAAGAGGCAACAAAAGGATGCATATCCTCCTGAGACTATGAAGATGAGGAGAGAGGTAACCGAGATAGGCAGGAAATAAGGCTTAAAAGCAGCCATAGTAAATCAAGCTCTAGCTATATTCCAAGGTTTTTCCTATGGCCTACATGGGCAAGGTGTTGAATGGTAGAGAAGGAAGTGTTACTAGGGAATGAAGCACACTAGTTCCCTGATGCACCTGAGTTAAGCTACATACAGATAGTCCAAAGAATTATGGGAAATTAAGAAGGGTATGGAAATTAAATGTTATCTTACTCATTGGGTCAAATAAGAAATCACACAAGAAATTAGGAAGTAAAGTAACTTGAAATGAAACACAGCAAAACATACGAGATTTAGCTGATACAGTGCTTAGAGGGAAAATATAAAGGAAAACATCTCAAATCAATAGCCTATACTTCCCCCTTAACAAATTAGGAAGAGTAAACTAAACTGAAAGCAAGCAGAAAGCTAAAGATTATAGTGGACATTAATGAAATAGAGACAGACACAATAGAGAAAATCAAAAGAGCCAAAAGCTGGCTTTTTGAAA